GCTTCAAGAATGAGATAAAAGTAAAGTGTCGGGTGGGAGCAGGGTGCATAGGCTTGTTAGGCAGTCTCATGATGCCTACCTTCAGTGAGAGATAATATGTCATTGTCTGTAGTCAGTCCTTTAGGTTAATCAGTAGGACAAACCTTTTGTTCCTCTCTAAGATAGTGACCACTCCCACATACTGGGAACACATCGGTTCAGACTGCTTGCATTGCCTTAAGATAAGTTGTTGGCTGATTGCCAAAGAATGTTAGTCTAACTTCCCAATTCTCTTTCAAAAGTGGAATCTTAGCCTTAAGATAAGTCCTTCTTGTTATTATGCTAATCTTGGCATTTCTTAGGAAAATTAATCATGATTGTGAATAAAATGAAAGTTCCTGTGGCCAGGATTCTCACCTGGCCCTGGTTGGCTAGCTCACTGCACACATGTAGGCAATACATTGCTGTTGCCTCTATTTGAGAGCTCTGCCTAGTGCTCTGGGTGACACCGTGGCATGGCTGCAAAGCTGCAGGAGAGCAGAGCAGAGGCTGGCATGGTGGCAGCGCCAAGGACAGAGGTCCAGAGGATGGCTGTGCGGGACGACTGTGCAGAGAGGCCCAGAGGATGGCTGTGTGGACAGAGGGGCCCAGAGGCAGAGACTGCCTTGCTGGATGCAGACTTGCTCTGAGTGAGTGGGATTTTAGTGATTGACCTACCACTGTAGAAATAAAATTGGGTATAACCCTTTCACCCCAAGAATGTTCTACTGTCATTTCTTTGGTCACACTGAATCCATAGCGAACTTGCCTGGGGCTGAAACCCACTGGCAAGACAATTGACGTAGTCAGCAGGATTCATTGCTGACCAAGGAAAAAACAGGCTACCCTCATGGGAGGGGTGCTTCAGCACGCTGCCCTTGTGAATGGGGAGACAGTGGATTGTCCCCCAATGGGTATGTGGTCTGAGGTGGCTTGCCTCATAGAAGACTGGGCCCCACACCAGGACTGGAGGCAAGTGGAGGTGACACCTGAGGCAGTAGGGGTAGCCCGTGGTATAGTAAGTATGTCTTTTGAGAGACAGAGTACCCACGAGGCAGCAGGGACTGTGGGTTGGCTGTTTCTCACAGTATAAAAAAGTCTACAGAAGAAAAGGACATCCAAGAACTGGCGGCATGAGAATGCAAGCTGCAAACTTTTGTGGATTCCCTGAAGAAGGAAATGGCATTGATGTGAGAGGAGGTGGCACGAGAACATCAGCAGCAAGGTGCCATTGAAGAGGTAAAAGATTCCTTACAGAACGAGATGGCAGTGCCCAGGTGCTCTAAGGAGGAAAAGGTCATCAAGGAAAAAGACGAACTCCTGAGGGAAGCACAGGCAGAGGTGGCATGAGAATACCAGCTCTGAAGCATTGAGGTGAAGGTAAGAGAGCTGCTGAAGACTGAGCTGGCATTGCCGTGAGGCATGGTTGCAAAGGAGGCACTCAGGGGAGTAGAGAGAAAGGTGCCATCAGCTCTGGAAATGGAGGACCTGGAGAAGGATGAAGGGGTGGTGCCAGAGGCAGTGACCCCTTCTGTACTGAAAGCACTCCTGGTGGTTGTAAAGAAAAGAAAGACCCTGCAGTCGAGAGTTCCCCAAGGAAAGGAGCAGCCCCCTCCCCAGGTTGTGGAGCACTCTATGGTCCACCCCTATACTCAGACTGAGCTGGTGGATTTGGGCTCCTGGTTTAGGCAGAAGCCCTCAGAGTCAATATCAGCTTGGTTCCTGTGTCTGTGGGACTTAGGGGTGGATGGAATTGTTCTGTCGGGATCAGAGATGGGAAAGCTGGCTTCCCTGACAGTGCAGCCCACCTTGAGGCAGCAATTACAAAATGCATGTCAGACCCCAGGGAGTCACTCTCTCCTTGATTGGTTATGGCTACACTTCATGCTGTGTGGTCCAGTCCGAGTGATCAACCATCCTCTCCTGTTAGATGGCAAATGTATGCTGAGCTCCAACAGGTGTTACGAGAGCTAGGCATAAGAAATGCCATCTATCATCCAGTTAATTATGGCCCAGATGAAGAGATTTTTACTACTGGGATGAGAAATATTGTGCTTCAAATGGCTCCCACATCACTCTTTGGGTCTTGGTGGCCATTCTTTTCCCTCACTTAGGACATCCCATAAGTGAGGTGACACATACAGTTGCAGACTTAGGAGAGGCTGAAGCAATGGGAACACTGGAAGAAATAAGGTCTGCTCCTCAAGAGAGGAATTTAAAGGGCCCCATGAAGGTTACGAGGACCCAGATGTGGGTTGATTTAATACAGGCAGGAGCACATGTAAGGAATTTAGATGGGAAGTCAAATAGGATATTACTAAAGTTATGGATACAACTGAAACCAGAGCAGCAGTTCCAGCCATTAAGACCAAAGAGGCAGAGGTCAGAGACAGAGCCACAAGTCCTGCCTGTGTGCCTGCAAGACTTTTTGCTGGAGAGACTGGAGAAAGAGGATATTGTAAGGCCCACCCATGGTTCTTTTGTTTAACTCATTTGAATAGAACTGGTTTGAATACAGCCAGGATGACCACTTAGTGGCAGTGGATCTCCTCAGGCTTGAGGGTTATTATAATTTATAATTTCTGTTATTTGTATGTTGTGGAGTTTGATTACAATGTTCCAGCTTCCTTACACAGGGAGCATTACAGAGGACTGAGGGCACATAGATTGAGAGGAGAGAATCCTGGAGGGGTGGAATGTGGATAAAATGAAAGTTCCTGTGGCCAGGATTCTCACCTGGCCCTGGTTGGTTAGCTCATTACACACATGTGGACAATACGTTGCTATTGCCTCTATATGAGAGCTCTGCCCAGTGCTCTGGGCAACACGGTGGCATGGCTGCAAGGCTGCAGGAGAGCAGAGCAGAGGCTGGAGTGGTGGCAGCACTGAGGACAGAGGCTCAGAGAATGGCTGTGTGGGATGACTTTGCAGGCAGAGAGGCCCAGAAGATGGCTTTGCAGACAGAGATGCCCATAGGATAGCTGTATGGACAGAGAAGCCCAGAGGCAGAGACTGGCTTGCTGCATGCAGACTCACTCTGAGTGAATGGGATTTTAGTGATTGACCTGCTACTGTGGAAATAAAATTGGGTATAACTCTTTCACCCCAAGAATGTTCTACTGTCATTTCTTTGGTCACACTGAATCCATAGCAAACTTGCCGGGGGCTGAAACCCGTTGGCAAGACAATGATGCTTCTCTAATGTCTCTGCCCTATCTCACCTGCATTAGCTAGGGCGAGTCTCAAGGTCAGCCCAGATCCAGATCATGTGGATTGAAGTCACAGTGCAAACAGTGTTAACTCTGAGTTTTTTCCAGCTCTCTGGCTTTATCTGATTAACTCCCTGAGTTCTTGATGGGCTTCAGCCTCTTTTCATCCCACTCATATCTTTCTGCCTAACAAGATCACAGAGGTAAAGAGCCATTTCATCACGTATCAAGCATATTTACTATAATGATTTATGACTCTTGATGTTGACTTTGATCACCTGGCTGAAGCAGTGTTTTTAGTTTATCTACTATAAGTTACTCTTTGGAAGAAAGTCACTATGCACAGCACATATTTAGGAGTGGGGAGTTAAAACCCTCCTTGATGGTTATGTTTTAACAAGCAAAATGACCCACACAATAGGTATCTTAGCTCTTTTCAGAATTCACAAACAGGTCAGATAGGTACGGAAATAATTCATTAAGGTGAGAGTAGTAGTGAATGGCAGCAGCCATGCAGGCAGTAGAGAGCAAGGAAGAGTAGAGGGAGGAAAGGAAAGTTTATTGAACTCCTGCTCAGCATAGGGAAAATTCCTTGACAGCTTTAAAGCCAGGGTCACCTGGCATCCAGTGTCTGCTTGAATCTGCACAGCATGGGAACTAAGCCCGTACTATCCCAGAATTTGGGGGTGCCACAGCAGAACACTAGATGGTGTGAGATTATGTTCTGAGAACTTCCCAGTGCAAAGGAAGGAAATTTTTCTGGCAGGCTGCTGAAGAACATGATCTTACAGCTGCAGTCCTGTCCAGGTCACCCAGGTGACGGGAACTTGCAAGCCCAAATCAGAGATCTCAGTAGCCCTCCCCTACTTTTCTGAAGTATAACACAGAGAGAGAGAGAGAGAGAGAGAGAGAGACTTGTGCTAAAGACTAGAAAACTAAATGAAGTAACAAAGTGACAAAGACATTTACCACCAGAGGTAGAAGTCAGTAAGTTCTTGCCTTTATCATGAAAAAGAGTTCAGAGAGGAAGTGTAATAGGCTTATGCAACAAGAAAGTTTATTTGATAGGACAGTATACACAGACAGCAATGTGGGCAACCTCAGAGGGTAGGCGTGCTTAAAGGCTTAGGATTCGGGTTCTTAAGGATTTCAAGAATGGAGTAAAGGGCCAGGGCAACTGTAGACTGGTCTCCTGATGTCTGTCTCTGGTGAGAGACATTACTTCACCAACCATAGTCAGTCCTCTAGATACTCTGTAAAGTAAACTTAACACAAGGAATTCAATGGTCCTGTTCTTCTGCAAGATAATGGTTATTCTCAAGCAGTGAAAACATACCATTTAGAACTGCTTGCCCTGCCTTAAGATAGGTTCAGTTGTTGGCTAATCACCATAAAATGTTAGGAATCTTACTTCCTAACACCCTGGTTTTTAAAATGGTGCCTTAGCCTTAAAATGGAGTCCCTCCTGTTCTTACTGTACTAAGATATTTGCATGTTGGGCACTTTTCATTATAGGCAAGAAAAAATTAATCATGATGCTTGTTCCATGTCCCTGCTCTGCCTCAGGTAGAAAGCCTCCTGTTGTCAATGTCAATTCTGGCTGCCTCTCTCATTTGGAGGAGGGAAATCCCAGGTGAGATAGGGGCAGTGACTGGCCTAGGGTCTCAGGGTAAGCCTGCCCAGCCCAGGCCAATCCCTATGTGTGCAGCTCAGGCCAATCCAGGCTCTACCCATGCCCTGGGCCCAGCTTTCCCCACCCCCCAGCAGGAGCAAGGTGCACTTCCGCCGCCTCTGGGTGCCTTGCACGTGGCAGGGCGTGCTGGGCTAGGCTGGATAGGAGCGGCGGCCGGGCAGGATGATGAACCTGACCACGGCGCCCCGCACTCTGCGGCCCACCGGGGCTGTGTGCACTGTGGGTTCGCCGGTGGTGAGTGTGCAGCCCCGCAGAGGACAGGTGGCCGCGGGCGCCTCTGTTCTCGCCCCTCTCCGACCACCTATCCCTTCTCTCATTTCTTCCAGGCCCCCGACCGCCCCTGCCTCCGGGTCTGAGCCTGGCGCTGTCTTTCCTTCTTCGCTGTTTCTCCACCTTTGCTCTCGCCTTCCGCGCCACGGTCCCCCTTTCAGTTCCGGCTCGGTCCAGCCTGCCCTCTTCGCCCGTTTCCTGCCTGGCTGCCTCCGTGCCCTCCCTTCCCTCGGTCTTTGGTCTGCGGCTCCCTGTGTGTCACCCCTCTCAGTCCCCTGGCTTGTCCCAGCCCACCGCCCTTCCGCTGTCCTGCCCCGCCTCTTGCCTGGGAAAAACGGACTCCAGGCTGCTGGAATATCATTCCCTCACGCCCCAAATGCCCTCCCTCTCCAGCCTGCCCCTGCCTTGTGGCTGGGTCCTAAGTGCGCCTGCTCGCCTGCCCTTCCCAGGGCTTGGGTGCGGGGAGGTTGGGGAGAGGATCAGGAAAAAGCCCAGGCCACTGTTGGAACGGAACATTCTCATCTCTCCTAGGCTAGGTGCTCTTTTGGAGTCTTGCCTGAAGTGAGAGCAGATCCAGCAGTGGGGTGACTGTGGCTCTTTCCAATACTGATGATACTGCCATTGTTGAGTATTGGCAAAGTCCCCTGCTTGGTGGCAGCATGCCCTAGGTGATCAGTGAATGTTTGGATGGATGACTGGGTTTGGGAGGGAGCCAGCATGGTGCATGATGCCAGGACAGGCAAGATCGGCCTTTATCAGAATACCTCAGGTACCTGACAGTCTAATGGGGGATACAGATGAACAGTTAAAAGAGAGTAACTACCACGATGGAAAAAGTCCAGGGCCCTCTGGGATCACAAGGAGACAACCCATCCAGAAAGGTTCCTGGGGGAAATTACTTGAAGGATGAGGGGTGGCAAGTGAGTGAAGTCCTGGAGACGAAGGAACCAGCTTGCTCTGGACGGGGGATGTGGAGGAGCAGCAGCAGTTCTGGTAGCTGACTGCCAGCGTTTCAGAGGGCTTGGTAAACCTTGTTAAGGAGCCTGGAGTTTATCGGGAAGGGAATGTAAAGTCACTGAACTGTTTAACACAGGGGGTGATGAGATTAGATTTGCACTCTGGGAAAACAGCTCTGGTTTCTGAATAGAGATTAGGTTGGGGGAGGCAGTCTCTCAAGGGGTCAGGAAGCCATGGAACTGACCAGGCATACAGAATTCCCTGGGCCTGGTGATTGATTACCTTTGCGGGTGGAGGCTGAGGATGGGAGCAGAATGCAAGATGGCAGCCTGGGTTTGTGGCTCAAGAAGCTGAGCTAGGGAATAGTGGTAAAGGTCAGGGTTGTGGGGTGGGAGAGATGTTAAGAGGCTTGGGGGACATATGAATGGAGATGTCCCTTCATCGACTCTACCAAGGGTGACCCAAGAAGATTTATTTACAGATGTTTGGCACAAGGTTTGCAGATGTATAGGGACCCTTCTGGCTGGAACTGGGTGAGAGCTGAGCCTGTTTCATCCCTGTGTCCTCATGGCCAGCACTGACCTGGCACCCAGCAGGGGCTCCTAAAGACCACATCTCGCCAGCCCATGCACACAATACCTGGGACAGGCTTTCCCACCCAGCAATGCTTTGGCAGGGTAGAAAAGGTAGGGGAGAGGGCCACAAGGAAGGGCAGGTGGTCTGGAAGAGGGGTGGAGAAGAAGTCTTTATGTACTAGAAACACATATATATGGTAGTGTGTTTATGGGCGAGGTGGAGGTCTGGAATTTCCAAAGAGATTGAGAGTTTTGGAAAAAAGGGAGGGCAGAGAGGAACAGCATGAAGAACCTTGGGAGCAGGGCAAAGGCCTTATCTAATAGAGAAATCAGGCTGAGGATGTTAAGGCAGGAAGCCATTTGTGAATCATCTGGAAATGAGCTTCAGAAATGACATATGAAGTAACTGGGGTTGTGATACTTTCAAAGCTGTAGAGACTTAGGGTTCTCCTTGTCCACTTTGCCTCCCTGCTTCATAGACAACTAAGCTTAGGCCGAGAAGGCGGTGAGCTGCCCCAGACATACTGCTACTACTGGCAGCAGTGGGACTGGATGTTGGGAGGGGAGGTGGCAGAGCACCCCTACTATGCTGAAGCCAGACTGATACGGGTTTGATCCCAGCTCTGACTTCATCACTTCCTAGCTGTGGACCCTTCTTTCTGAGCTTTCCTTGCCTGTAATGTGGGGATATTAAGAGCCCCTGTGACCTTCAGAGGTACAGGAGTGATGAGAGCATACCATCCATTCAAGGGTTAAATCTACAACTTTGCCATCTAACTGCCTGCTTTACAGAGCCACCTCAGGGTTAACCAAACAGCCTTGGCTTATTTTTCTCAAGGCTGTATCATTTGGCTACTGTCAGAATGCATCCTTTCATCTCCTTTTTCTGTTCCAGTCAACAGAACTGTCCCCTGGTAGGAGCTGTTGCCATAGCAACTCAGTTCTTCCCGGCATTTTGGCTGCCTTTAGCTCTCTTAATTCCAGTAATCTTAGTGGTAGATCCCACAGACAAATTGAGAGTGAGCTTACACCTAAAACAGGCTGAGGGACATTCTTGAGCTTTGTCCCTATCCCTGGTCCTGCAATGACCTGTGGGAGTCTCCAGGCTGGAAATGCAGCCTTTTCTCTCACACTGCACAGAGCCTGTCTGCAGCTGCAGCCATCGTGTCCCCTGGGAAACCTTCCCTGACAGCCTTCAGCACACATCCACAAGAACAGCCAACCCCCCCTACCTCTGAAGCTTCCCTCAGCACCACATGTAAGCCATTTCCCTCTGGCCCCTGTGAGCTCCTGGGACTGTGTCCTGTCATCTGCTTAGGAGGAGGCGTGAATGGAATGGGCCTTCTCTACATTTTGGTGAATGAATAACTAAGGGAATGAAGAATGTAGGTATTTGAAAGTTAAAAACCAGCTTATGTAATAATTAAGAGCACAAGCTTCTGGGTAAATTGGACCTGAGTTCAAATCCAGTCATCACTTAATAGGTGGTTGATCTTAAGCAACTTGCTTCAGCTCCTTAAGCCCTAGTTTCTTATCTGTAAAATGGGGATTTAATACATTCTTCATTGGATTGGTATGAGGATTGAGTTAGAGACTGTATGTAAGCACTTTGCACAGTTACTAGATTGTGAGGGGAGGGATGGTGTCCTGTGCACCAGGTACCTGGCACAAAGGAGGCCCATACATATTTTATTGAATGAGTGAGTGAATTTTAAATAACCAAAGTTGTTCAGAAAGCTGTGTGACAATAACAACTAGTTTATCACCTCATGTGTAATAATTACTATAGGTCTTTTGGTATTTTTGTCAGGTCGGTGTGGTACCACTCAGCATTCCTGAATGCAGCCTGACTCAGTCTGTTCCTACCACCCTCTCTACATTGACCTAGGGCATCTCCAGGCAGGGCACCATCTGGCTCTCACCCACATCCTTAGTGCTAAGCCCAAAGTTTGGCAGAGAAGAGGCCTCTAAAAATTCTGTTAAACGGCTAAATCTAACTTACATTTGTACCACACTTTACAGTTTATGAGGCAGTTTTATAGCCGTTTTATTTGGAGTTGTTGGCCTTTTTATCACCAAGGCTTTTCCTGTTATTTAATCCCCATGGGTCCATTATTTGAAAAACATTCATCAAACAAATTGTACTTAATTAATCCAAGTCATGCCATATGCTAATCAGAAGTTCTGATCTACATAAAATAAGAATTTGTATCCCCAACTACTAACACAGGATGTGGACACCCAATAAGTACCCAAGAAATGCTTCCTAAAAGAATACATGTTAAGGTTTCTGCAGCCTTTCTGAAAGGTTGAAGATGGTTGCTCCCTGCCTCTTTTCTTAAACCATATCTGAGCATACCACCTTGGGAATTTCTGATTTCACAACAACTCCATATCCTCATTTATAAATGAGGCCTTAGGGAGGGAAAAAGACTTGCCAAAGGCCACAGGCTTTGGAAGGATTCCATTAGGACGTGCTTCCACAGAAGCCCCCTCTTCCTTTGTGTGTGTATACATGGCCTCCTCTTCTAATATTCCATGACCTAAAGGACAAAGCTAAATGCTTCAGTGTGTATTTTATTAAACTGAAATCTTTTTCTTCTTCAAAATGTCCACTCTCTGGAGCTATACAGCATAATTAGAGCCCTTCAGTAAAACAGGCCTTCCACTAGCTGAAGCCAATCATTATGGCTTCCTTAAATCCTGCACCGGATTGTGCTTCGGATGAAAAATAAATCATGAACTCTCTTGAGGTGGCTCTATTGTCTCTTGTTCACTCTGCCTCTTGTGCCCTCAGCCTAGTTCTGTCGTGGAGCTGAATGTTGGGGGTGAGTTGTACACCACCACTGTGGGCACCCTGAGAAAATTCCCCGGCTCAAAGTTGGCAGAGATGTTTTCCAGCTCAGCTAAGGCCTGCAGGGATGTGGAGGGCCGCTTCTTCATCGATCGCCCCGGCACCTATTTCGGATCCATCCTGGACTACCTAAGAAGTGGGGAGCTGCCCACGCAGCACATCCCAGAGGTGTACCGCGAGGCTCAGTTCTATGAAATCAAGCCTTTGGTTAAGCTCCTTGAGGACACACCTAAGATCTTCAGTGAACAGGTGGCTCGGAAGCAGTTCTTGCTGCGGGTGCCAGGCTACAACGAGAATCTGGAGCTCATGGTGCGCCTGGCGCGCGCTGAGGCGGTGGCTGCACGCAAATCCGCAGTGCTGGTGTGCGTGGTGCACACGGAGGAGGATGTGGCACAGTGCGCGGACACCCTGCGCATGCTGGAGGCTGAAAAGAAGTCAGTCGTCAGATTCGGGCCTTGGAAGGCAGCCCCCGACATCAGGGATCTCTTGGACTGTATGGTGATGGACATTAAAGCACAGGGGTACCAGGTAGTCTATGAACACTACTCTGAGAAGGCATTCTGGACCAAGGGCTTCAATTGCTTCTATACATTCGTCTTCATCTGGTGGTGACCCCCAGGGGGCGGGGCTGTTTGTTATGGGCTCTGGTGGGACTTACGAAATTAAAAGTTGTCTTACAAGCCTTCTTTAAATTTCAAAAGCCTATGAATATCACACAACTTACAAGGTGGTACAAGAGGCTTGCCCCCACATATTATATCCTCTTTGAGGACTTTACACTCATCGCAACTGACTCCACTGTACTCGTCTGGTGAAATGCAGCTACTCCCTCTTTAAAGCCTCATGTACCTGCCAGAACTTTCCCTTGACTTACAATAGCAAGGCTGAGATGAGTTGGGATGCTTCAACAATGCTTTGGCTGGAGATGCAGAATGACAGCAAGAAAATAACAGGACACCATGACTCTAGGTCATCTAACCTAAAATATAGTCTATCTAGCCTCAGCTTGTCCAGTCCTCTAGCCCTGGTATGTGCCTTTGTAATGAAGATGCCAAATAGCACCTGTAGATTTCCTTTTCCAGATGCTAAAACTTCACAGGTGTCCTCTTCTCCAGAGCAATGGTTCTCAAAGTCCCTGGACCAGCAGCCTCACCAAACCTGAGAACTTGTTAGAACTACAATGCTCAGGCCCCACCGTCAGGGACCTAAATCAGATTTTCTTGAATCAGAAACTCTGGGGATTGGCACAATAATCTGTTTTAACAAGCCCTGTGGGTCATTCTGATGCACTCTAATTTTGAGACCTGCTCTAGGAAAGAACTGCCATCTCCCTTGTGTGGAGGTACAGAAGAATTACCTCAAAGAGGAACCGCCTCTGCTGCAATATCTGTTCCAGAGCTCCTGGTGGGATTGGGCTGAAGGCTGAAGTCAGTCTTCATATGCTGCTACATTCTTGCTTAGTGTTCTTCCTCTGCTCTGCCCTGCTTCCCTTATTCCCCTTCACTTGAGAGAACATCATCAATAAACCCCTTGCACAAGAGTCTGTGTTTGATGTTCTGCACAACCTCAGACAGTACATACCTCTAAGGAGGACACATGCAGGCATTCATCCTTCTCCGAGAACAGGTCTTGGAGCACCCTGCCCTGCCTAGTAAGGTCACCAACCATCCTGGGGTCTCCAGGATTGAGGTCAAGGTTAACCAGCCAGGTTTAAGGAATTTTAGAGTCAGGGAGTTTCAAATTTAAACATAATTGCTCAGAACATAGTGATTTTCAATGAGCGTGACAATTCAGTAACTGCATCTGCTGGTATTTTTTTTTCTTATTTTCCAAGCTTGTTCCATATTTTCCTTTTTTGGTATTTAATATGGCTCACAGTTTAAAGTGGAAAAATCCTGACTACCTATTTGAACATTTTAGTCATGAAACAATTTAACATTACTTAAGAGACTGAGAAAAAAAGTATATACACTTTATCAGGAACTACATTTATGGGATTAGATTCCAGGGAGACACCCTGCTCCTTAATATTTAATTAAATAGGATTGCTTAAAATCTCAATTTCATGAATTATAGAAAGGTCAACATCCTCCCCAAGATTCCTGCGCATTCTCAGAGGGTTTGTCTTATGGTTTGCTCTGCCTCCGCTCCTGCTGGATTCACTCAGCATAGTGATTATCTGGATGTCTTGAACCTGGTGTTGCTGTTCAACACCATGCTCTCCCAGATTTAAAACTAAGATATTTTTCTTAATTTTTACAAGTGTCACTCCCATGAGCTATTGTGCACATGGCGGACTGTGGAAAATACAGGCAAATAAAGAGGAGGGAGCTTATAGGACAAATGCAAGTAACTTCAAATTGAACATTGAACGAACCTATTCTAAAAGTGTCAGTCATCCCCATCACTAGAGGCTTTTCACTAGCAGATTGTTTTGAATTCTTCGCTCCCTGTTATTTCCATCCTTGGCGGGTGGGAGTAATCTGCCTTACCCCACTGACTTCGCGCTTGGCCTCACGACCTAATCTGGCCAGCTGAATATGTGTGGAAGTAACAGTATGCCAGTTGCAAACTGAGGTTTTAGAGGCATGCCAAGTTTCCATTAGCCCTCTTGTGTTATTGTCATTTGCCATGAAAAGACCAGGTTCCAGTTTAGCTACCTTTTTTATTTCTTTGGCTCCAGGCTGCACGTGTGCCCTTAGCATCTGACTTCTTCCTAAGCAATTTACCGAACTATTTTATTAAACAAAGGCAATTCCAACATCTCCCAACTCCCAATTCTTAATACAGTTAAGATAAGATACAATTTTTTTTATCACATTTAACTTACAATAGCAAAACAATTGGAAATAAGTCATTTGCTATATTGTATCTATATAATGCAATGTTCTCCAGCAAGTAAAATTACATTTATAGATGGCTTAAAATTATTGGGGAATAGAATACTTATTTAATGTAATGCAATTAATGAAATCTTTGCTCCAAAAAGGATTTAAGGTGGTGGGGCTTATAGGGCTATGAAAAAAAGAAATATCTTTAAAGACATAAGTTAGAAGTATATAAATTAAGTGGACACTCTTGGCTGCCTACCCAAAATGCAATCTCCTCTCTTTCATTTCCTAACAGGAAAGCAAAATAGTAAAGCACATTAATAATGTTCAGAATACTCTCTGTTCACTTGTAAGGGTATATAAGACTTCAGATCTATTGAGATTAACTGAAGAAAATTATAGAGTTAGAGGAAGAAAACTTAAAACTGAATGCTAAATATAACTGATTATAATCCAGAGGAAAAATACAAGGAAAGATTAAAACTTTGAGATTGCCTTTATGGAGACACCTTAGTTCATAGCATTGCTCCTGAAAGGAAAGGAGCGACACACAGCAGCAATTCACCAGAGAAATCCGCTTTATTAGGGAAAGGTGCTGGGTTATATAGGAAGGGTGATTGTGGTGTTACTTCTACGGGGCTGGTGGCTATTGGCTAGGTGCTGGGATTGGGAGGGGGGCGAGAGGTGATTGGGCTTCAGGTGGCACCGGCGGGAACTGAGGACCCTGAAGAGAAGCCGGAAGTTTGCCATCTTACTGGTGGG